AGCAATTGTTTCTGCTGTTGAAGAAACATCTGGTATTTAGGGTATATATACTGATAATGAGGTTCTTATTGTTGACATGACAAGTTTATGTGTTACAATGGTTTAAATACAGTTTGGAGTAAAGTACACAAACTCATGACTGGAACTTTCTAGTAAGTCAGGATATAGGGGGCTGGCATGGGACTTTCTAGTAAGTCAGGATACAGGGAATTTCCATCAAGGCTGGTATGGGACTTTCTAGTAAGTCAGGATATAGGGGATTCCCATCAAGGCTGGCATGGGACTTTCTAGTAAGTCAGGATACAGGGGATTTCCATCAAACCGGGCATGGGACTTTCTAGTAAGTCAGGATACAGGGGATTTCCATCAAGGCTGGCATGGGACTTTCTAGTAAGTCAGGATACAGGGGATTTCCATCAAGGCTGGCATGGGATTTTCTAGTAAGTCAGGATATAGGGGGCTGGCATGGGACTTTCTAGTAAGTCAGGATACAGGGGATTTCCATCAAGGCTGGTATGGGACTTTCTAGTAAGTCGGGATATAGGGGATTCCCATCAAGGCTGGCATGGGACTTTCTAGTCAGTCAAGATATAGGGGATTCCCATCAAGGCTGGCATGGGATTTTCTAGTAAGTCAGGATAGAGGGGATTCCCATCAAGGCTGGCATGGGACTTTCTAGTAAGTCAGGATACAGGGGATTTCCATCAAGGCGGGCATGGGACTTTCTAGTAAGTCAGGATACAGGGGATTTCCATCAAGGCTGGCATGGGACTTTCTAGTAAGTCAGGATACAGGGGATTCCCATCAAGGATGGCATGGGACTTTCTAGTAAGTCAGGATAGAGGGGATTCCCATCAAGGCTGGCATGGGATTTTCTGGTAAGTCAGGATATAGGGGATTCCCATCAAGGCTGGCATGGGACTTTCTAGTAAGTCAGGATACAGGGATTTCCATCAAGGCTGGCATGGGACTTTCTAGTAAGTCAGGATACAGGGGATTTCCATCAAGGCTGGCATGGGATTTTCTGGTAAGTCAGGATATAGGGGATTCCCATCAAGGCTGGCATGGGACTTTCTAGTAAGTCAGGATAGAGGGGATTCCCATCAAGGCTGGCATGGGACTTTCTAGTAAGTCGGGATATAGGGGATTCCCATCAAGGCTGGCATGGGACTTTCTAGTAAGTCAGGATATAGGGGATTTCCATCAAGGCTGGCATGGAACTTTGTAGTAGTTCACGATATATGGGATTCCCATCAAGGCTGGCATGGGACTTTCTAGTAGGTCAGGATATAAGGAATTTCCATCAAGGCTGGCATGGGACTTTCTAGTAAGTCAGGATACAGGGGATTTCCATCAAGGCTGGCATGGGATTTTCTGGTAAGTCAGGATATAGGGGATTCCCATCAAGGCTGGCATGGGACTTTCTAGTAAGTCAGGATAGAGGGGATTCCCATCAAGGCTGGCATGGGACTTTCTAGTAAGTCGGGATATAGGGGATTCCCATCAAGGCTGGCATGGGACTTTCTAGTAAGTCAGGATATAGGGGATTTCCATCAAGGCTGGCATGGAACTTTGTAGTAGTTCACGATATATGGGATTCCCATCAAGGCTGGCATGGGACTTTCTAGTAGGTCAGGATATAAGGAATTTCCATCAAGGCTGGCATGGGACTTTTTAGTATTTCTGACATACCTGCCTTGTATAGGTTTGTGAGGTAGAGAGGGATATTTCTGACAGACCTGCCTTGTTTAGGATTGTGAGGTAGAGAGGGTCGTCGAGCATAATTAAAGGATATTTCTGACAGACCTGCCTTATATAGGATCGTGTGGTAGAGAGGGTCGTCGAGCATGATTAAAGGATATTTCTGACAGACCTGCCTTATATAGGATCGTGTGGTAGAGAGGGTTGTCACCTCAAAAAATATAGACATTGTTAATCTATCAAAGTGCTGGGCTGAAATGGAAAAAAAAGTCTTTGCTTTTGGTAACACATCACTGCTTGTTAAAACCTTAACAAGAAGAAGATCAAACAAATTAACTGGTATCATCTAACAATAACAATGATAATTTTGTTAATGGTTTTTATCATGGTATAGAGATTTAGTATATTAGATATGAAAGGAAACTGAATTTTAAGACTGAAATTGTCTTTTATCCATTAAGTAATTGAATCCAATGAGACTGAGCCAGAAAGCTTTTGCTATATCTGTACACAATATTAAGTAGATATTTGTTCAGTGCATATTGAAGTTAGATGTGAATATAATTAAATAATGTTGGTATTTTACAGATAAATAATTGTATAATACCTAGTTTCAATGGGGGAAGGAATAGTTAAAGTTATAAAAATGTGTCTATTGTTTATTCCTAATTGGATGCATACTTAATGTGTGGGATGGTTTGTAGCCACTGATAGGAAGTGCATTCCTGCCAGGATGATGTGCTGTAACATGGGGGTGCTATTATCAGAGCACTATTGTCGCAGAGTAAAAGTGCACACGTACTGCACTGATCATTATTTAGTCACTTGATTGGAGTACTTCAACAAAGTTTATGACAGTGATACTATAGAAACATTGGAAAACCATCTGTGATTGTGATACACAATCCCGATAATACAGCCTCATCCTATAGTTTTGTAACAATTGTCATTTGTTATCAACTGTGGTAGCCTCATATTCTTTTCCCTTTCTTTGGTTACTAACAATTAGGTGCTATAGATATCCCCTTCAGTACACAAAACTATTAATGTAAATGAGTAGATAATACAGGAGCTGAGTTTTATTTTGGCAATACTTCATGACCTTTGTGATTAACACAATGATAGGGTAATATAAGGCTATATAGATTAATAACAGCTCAGGAACGGAATCAGATAGGCAGGGCAAAAGTACAAATTAGATGTTGAGTAATGGTATAGAATTAAGGAATATTGTTACATGTGAAATATTTTGGTGACAAAAAAGTTCAACAAAATTGTGGTTTATTTTACAACGTTTAGATCAGCTTGCATCAATCATGTGTGTTGGCACGTAAGTGTAGAATGCAGAGATGAAACCCAGCTACTTCACGAGATTTGGGATAGGTTTACTGTCAACAAACTGTAAACGAAGCTTTAACACCAGTTTTGATGTGTGGTAGATATTTACAACTTCCCTTCTTCCAACCAGGGAAGGGGCTTCCAAAGAAGTAAAATATTGGAAATGTTTTAAAAATCTTCTGAACTACCAGAAATGTCATCCTCTACCTAAACAACACAGACAAACAACATGAAAGGAATTTTATGTTTTCCATAAAGTCCTATTGAAACCATCAACATTGAAGCAATATTAGGTTTACCTTGTTTGACAATAACTACTGCTGTTACAACACGTGTATCTAGTTAGTCAGATAACTGTCAAGGTTCATGGGCCTCTTCTTAGAATTACATTCAATGAACTGAACAGGGGTCAATGTGGAAAATTAGCAACATCTCCTCTGAAAGATTGTAAGGCTTATAGTCATAATACATTTGTACACGGATCTTGCTGAAAAGAAGGGTTATCGATTTGTTGTCTGTAGTGTACGTCACACCGTGTTGTCTGTAGTGTACGTCACACCGTGTTGTTTATAGTGTATGTCACACCGTGCTGTTGTAGTGTACATCACACCGTGTTGTCTGTGGTGTACTTCACACCGTGTTGTGTGTAGTGTACATCACACCGTGTTTATAGTGTATGTCACAACGTGCTGTTGTAGTGTACATCACACCGTGTTGTCTGTGGTGTACGTCACACCGTGTTGTCTGTAGTGTACGTCACACCTTGTTGTTGTAGTGTACGTCACACCGTGTTGTTTTAGTATATGTCACACAGTGTACGTCACACCGTGTTGTCTGTAGTGTACGTCACACCGTGTTGTCTGTAGTGTACGTCACACCGTGTTGTCTGTAGTGTACGTCACACCTTGTTGTTGTAGTGTACGTCACACCGTGTTGTTTTAGTATATGTCACACAGTGTTGTTTGTAGTGTACGTCACACTGTGTTGTTGTAGTATACGTCACACCGTGTTGTCTGTAGTGTACGTCACACCGTGTTGTCTGTAGTGTACGTCACACCGTGTAGTTGTAGTGTACGTCACACCGTGTTGTCTGTAGTGTACGTCACACCGTGTTGTCTGTTGTGTACGTCACACCATGCTGTTGTAGTATACATCACAACGTGTTGTGTGTAGTGTACGTCACACCGTGTTGTTGTAGTGTACGTCACACCGTGTTGTCTGTAGTGTACGTCACACCGTGTTGTTATAGTGTACGTCACACCGTGTTGTTTGATTTTGGAACTTTCTAGATAAACAAAATGGCTGAAAGGCAGTCTTTATTTTTGGCAATGAAAGTTTATTATCACTATTTCTTGAGAAGAACTGGATGGGTCTTTCTGAAATTCAATATGTAGGTCCCTCTTGGTCCTAGAAAAGTAAAATGACTGACATGTGACCATCTTGGATATGGCAGTTTAAAAAATTGTAGCTATTTCTTAAGAGAAACAATCAAAGTAATTATAATTGAAAACAGAAGAAAGAAGAGAAGAGAAGGGAAAGGATCCCACTTATAAATAACATATAGATACCAAATGACAGTGTGTGTCAAGATCATTTGTTGATTTTAACTCACCATTACAATATAATGACCTTAGCATATTAAAAGAATTATTACCATTCAGAGAAGCTATGATAGGAAGTAGAAAATGACAACATATCTTTTATGAACTAGGATAAACACATTCTTGTAGTTTTAATTTACCCAAATCATTCAATTCCATACATCTTGGCTGCTGTTGTCTTCCAGAATATTTAGCAAGGGCTGTTTCTTTGGTAGAATTTTCATATCATTCATACCTTTATTTATGTATTATCTCTATGTTCTGAGTAATATGAAAAATACTGGATTACTTTTTTTCACCTGAAGTAGTAGTGATATTTATTGATTTGTAAAGACGAAGTTTGTTTCTTTGTTTTTTAAGATTTTGGAGTTTTCCTGTCACACTGTGTCCTTTGTACAAGTTAGGGGATCCATTCCTGCATACTGGAGCCAGACAGGATTCAAGTACCGACCGCCTCCCAAGCTGGATCGGGGTAAGTGTTGTTATAACGTCCCTTACTTACAGTCCTACATGCCATACACAGCTGTAATCCTAGCCTTTTCTGTCTGCTGTCCTCAAGTTATGATTGCTTTCCTGTAATAGATTCCATAGGTAACTTGCACAGAGTTGAAATACAAATTGTTTTCTCTTTCGAATATGACTCCACTTCATTGATGAGTTTAGAAATGGTATGAAATGTCTGATTAGTAACTGGAATACCAGATGGTATTTCTGGATGTGTTCATGTTCCTTTACTTTGATTTATTTTTCTTCATTTGGAAAACACATTTTGCTGAGAACATTGACTACATGTCAGAGAAATATTGCCCAATCAAGGAAAGATAGTTTGAAAATGACTTTTGGACCACTGTATCATAAAGAAACTACTTAGATATAATATTTTGTTTTGTGAAAATTTACAATTGGTGTGGTAATTATTTTGAGAACAAATCAACATTGATTTCAGGAATATACAATCAAAACTACATCAAAGTATCAGATGATATAGGTTTTGATATTAAGAAGATTTCAAATGTTGAAAAGTCTTAATTTTTGTTGACCAGTAAATATGTAACCTTGAGAAATGATTGGATGAAAGAAAGATTGCATTGAAATGATGCTAGTTCCAAGAATATTGTTTGCTAAGTAGATAAAAGAAAATTGATTTTAACAGAAATCCTTACAGTACCTGATCGCTTCTTCATGAAGCGTAAAATTTTAAACCAGACGTAATATCATAAACAGACTCTGAGTTTGAAATAAGCTACTCAATAGAATAAACAGGATTATACATAACAGAGCTTGTTGGCCTTGTAGAAACTAGTGTTGATGACACTAAATATTGTTACTGGAGATCAGAAATATCTGTGTACAGTGATATTGTTCTGTTACTACCACTCAGACGTTTTATTGCGTGTTAAGGAATAGACTTGTGGTAATCACAATGGAGGTGATATTGATATACACAGATTTGTTATGTTACATCAAGACCCCATCCCCAACCCACAAAAGCAAACAATCACCACCACCCAAACAATCACCACCACCACCACCACCTCCTCCTCCTCCTCCTCCTCCTCCTCCTCCTCCTCTATACTACAAAAACATTGAACTGGGTGGATATGGACCCATTGTGGTAAACCTTTCACCATTTTGGAGCTAATGTTTAACTCTAGACACTTTCACTGTTAAACTGATGTCATGTCTTTGTGTCCTTAGATTAGGAAGTGAAATTATCATTGTCATGTTCAGAATGAAACCCCTAAAAAGGAACTTGTGACAGTTTTCGTTTTTCTGTAAGGTAGTCCAGGAGATTATGAAGAAAGATCAAATTGAGTCTCAGTGGACATATCATAGATGTCATAAAAGTTAATTCAGATCCATAGTGGAAACAGTGGGCTGGAATATTGAAAAAACTCAATGACAGGAAAAACCACATGTATCTCAGTGGCAAGAATGTCTCAGTTTGCAACTGAGGAGAAGATTGAAAATTTTTGTTGTAAATTCTTACTGGAATTAGGCAGACTCCTGTTAAATGGTCATAACTCAAGAAGAATTGAATTGACCATAACCAAGTCAGAACTTGATATGCATATAATCAATTCCTGAATTACAGTTTTAAGGTCACCATGAGACCTGTTGAAATCTCCTTCATACGGTGTTATGTGTCCGTAAACAATTTAACATTTTCAACCAATTAAACCAAATTCGATAAATGAAATTTTGCAGACACCTTCCCACGTCTAAGATGAAACAAAATAGTGAATTATATGGTCCCAACTCCATGGGAGCCTGAGGGATGGGGCCAAAAGCATCAAATTTCACTCAAATTTCAAAAAACTTCTTAATACCCAGATCTGGTAGAATTAAATGCTTTTCATGGATGGAAGCATCTTAAAGTGGTTTACCAAATTATGAATTTCATGGCCTCAGGGTCTCACATTTCCCTGCAGGGAGGAGGTAAAGTTTACTATAATTTATGAAGAAAAATAATTTTTTGAGTATGATTTGTTTAATTATCATTGAAAATATTTCAAACTTGCTTAGAATTATAAGCAAAATATAGTAGCTTGATGGTATGCCCATATTGATCCAAGTTGACCCCTAGGGGCTGATGGGTGGGGCCAAATGGGGTCAAATTGACTCAGATTTCAAAAATCTTCTTTTCAACACCCAGATATGGAAGTATCAAATATTTTTCAAGAATGGAAGCGTCTTAAGATGGTTTACAACAGTTGTGAATTTCATGGCACCAGGGTCTTACATTTCCCTGTTAGAAGGGGGCAAAGTTTACGATAGTTATATACAAAAAATAGATTTTTTAGTTTAATTTATTTGAATTAAATTGGAAATATTTCAAACTAGGTAAGAATTATGAATGAAGAATTATGGCTAGATAGTATGAATAGATTGATTCTAACTGACCCCCAGGTCTGGTGTAAGGCAGGGCTTAAAGGAGTCAAATAGATTTAAAATTCAAAAATCTCGACACCCAGGTGTGCTAGAATCAAATGTTCTTCTAGGATGGAAGTATCTTAAGGTTCTTTAATTACCAAAATGGCTCTCACATTTCTTCCTGGAGAGGAGGTTAACTTTACTTTATTTTTGATACAAAGAGGTGGATGTATTGGTAGAGAAGTCCAATATCTTGTGGGTGGTACTGGTTGGTAGATGTATGGGTAGAGGAGTCTGAAGTCCTGTGGGTGGTGCTGATTGGTAGATGTATCGGTAGAGGAGTCCAATGTCCTGTGTGTGGTACTGGTTGGTAGATGTATGGGTAGAGGAGTCCAATGTCCTGTGTGTGGTACTGGTTGGTAGATCTATGGGTAGAGGAGTCCAATGTCCTGTGTGTGGTACTGGTTGGTAGATCTATGGGTAGAGGAGTCCAATGTCCTGTGTGTGGTACTGGTTGGTAGATCTATGGGTAGAGGAGTCCAATGTCCTGTGTGTGGTACTGGTTGGTAGATCTATGGGTAGAGGAGTCCAATGTCCTGTGTGTGGTACTGGTTGGTAGATGTATGGGTAGAGGAGTCCGAAGTCCTGTGGGTGGTGCTGATTGGTAGATGTATCGGTAGAGAAGTCCAATGTCCTGTGTGTTGTACTGGTTGGTAGATGTATGGGTAGAGGAGTCCAATGTCCTGTGGGTGGTACTGGTTGGTAGATGTATGGGTAGAGGAGTCCAATGTCCTGTGTGTGGTACTGGTTGGTAGATGTATGGGTAGAGGAGTCCAATGTCCTGTGTGTGGTACTGGTTGGTAGATATATGGGTAGAGGAGTCCAATGTCCTGTGTGTGGTACTGGTTGGTAGATGTATGGGTAGAGGAGTCCAATGTCCTGTGTGTGGTACTGGTTGGTAGATGTATGGGTAGAGGAGTCCAATGTCTTGTGGGTGGTACTGGTTGGTAGATGTATGGGTAGAGGAGTCTAATGTCTTATGGGTGGTGCTGGTTGGTAGATGTATGGGTAGAGGAGTCCAATGTCCTGTGGGTGGTACTGGTAGGTAGATGTATTGGTAGAGGAGTCCAATGTCCTGTGGGTGGTACTGGTTGGTAGATGTATGGGTAGAGGAGTCCAATGTCCTGTGTGTGGTACTGGTTGGTAGATCTATGGGTAGAGGAGTCCAATGTCCTGTGTGTGGTACTGCTTGGTAGATGTATGGGTAGAGGAGTCCGAAGTCCTGTGGGTGGTGCTGACTGGTAGATGTATCGGTAGAGGATCCCAATGTCTATGGGTGGTGCTGGTTGGTAGATGTATGGGTAGAGGAGTCCAATATGTCCTATGGGTGTTACTGATAGGTAGATGTATCGGTAGAGAAGTCCAATATCTTGTGGGTGGTACTGGTTGGTAGATGTATGGGTAGAGGAGTCTGAAGTCCTGTGGGTGGTGCTGATTGGTAGATGTATCGGTAGAGGAGTCCAATGTCCTGTGTGTGGTACTGGTTGGTAGATGTATGGGTAGAGGAGTCCAATGTCCTGTGTGTGGTACTGGTTGGTAGATGTATGGGTAGAGGATTCCAATGTCCTGTGGGTGGTGCTGGTTGGTAGATATATGGGTAGAGGAGTCCAATGTCCTATGGGTGGTACTGGTAGGTAGATGTATGGGTAGAGGAGTCCAATGTCCTGTGTGTGGTACTGGTTGGTAGATGTATGGGTAGAGGAGTCAAATATCCTGTTGGTGGTGGTGGTAGGTAGATGCATTCTTGGTGGATACTGGAGTATTCTTGTAGAGCTCCATAGACAATAGGTAATAACAAGTAGATATAAGATGGAGCATCAATACCAGGGATTCTGTACCTGTGATTTTATTTGTTGACATGTTTCAGTTGGCTAGGCTAACAGTCTTCTGACAGAGTCAACATGTCAACACATACAATTTAAAGTACAGAATCCCTAGTGTTGATGATCCATCTTCTATCTACTTACAATCTTTATAGAAAAATTGCATTTTTGAGCATGATGTTGGTTATTTACCACTGGAAATAACTTTGTAAGATTTATAAGTATAGGATGATATTTTTGTTGATATGTATGTATTGACACTGACTTACTGTCATCAATGTCACAATTTCTTTTTATGACACTTGAAAGCTGCTTTCCCTTTAACCTTTATAATCAATATTGCTTATCTCAGGTGACCGTCAAGTCCACTCTTGTTATATATATACCTGTTAAAAAGTTGATAAGCTTAAACAAACTGATGATGGCACGATGACCATGGGTAACACTACATATTCCCACGTAGGTTGACTGTCATTTCTTGTAAATTGCAAGAGAATCCTTAGAATAAGTTCTTAGTTACCAAAATAAGTTTAGGATTGGTTTGGGAGTTTGTAACAACAAAAAAATGAGCTCTGCACAAGATTTCCTTTAATATTGCTAAGTGTTCGGTGACTCTTTTGGCTAGGGATATTGTGGTACCCTGAAGAGCTAATTAGCCACGAACATCAGTGACGTTCTCATACAACATTGCTATGATATAGTATTGATTCAAGTCAGTCGACCATATTTAGTACCAGAAAACAATAAACCAAGGACTTCTAATGAATTATGGGAAAATTTTATCATGGTGATGATACAGGAACTTTTTTATTTACAAGAAAT